TGCAGCGCTTGGAGTCCTCAGGAAGCGATAGGAGCATCCATCAACGGAGGGTACTCAGTCGGAGTACAAGGAGCTCCGTTACATTGGTGGCAGCAGTGGGATGGCGTCCTAGTGCGAGGAGAAGCAGCTCGGAGACACTGGTATCGTATGAGAGGTTATTGAGGGCAACGCTAGCCACTGTGCAGCGTCCCTAACTACAGCAGCATGGAGCAGGGATGGATAGAGCCCTGCGAAGAGCACCTCAACATGATACGTCGCTACGAGGACGACGCTTACATTGAGGAGGTAAAGAGGCGGTTGGTCTGCTATGGCCCAGACCTTTCGAACGAGGTGGTCCACCAAGTAATGCGCCAGTTGAGTGCTGAGAACAGTGCGGCAATGGCCTTTGAGCGACAACTGTGGAGGTTGAGGATATGGACACCCAGTCTCCAGCGGCAGTGCAAGTTACAGGGAGCCGAAGGTGTCGTCCTTCCTCCCCAGCGGCAGTGCAAGTTACAGGGAGCCGAAGGTGTCGTCCTTCCTCCCCAGCAGCAGTGTGTCCTACAGGGAGCAGAGACAGTTGGTCTCTCTCTCCAGCAGCAGGACAATGTTATGGGAGTGGAGACAGGCGGTCTCCCTCTCCAGCGGCAGCCTGTGTTTCAGGGAGAGGAGCACAGCACCCTATCTCCCCAGCGGCAGCTTACCCTACCAAGGGGAGACACCAATCTCCCAGATGGCGCAGAGGGGACCGTGGTCTCTGTGCCCGACCTACAGGGATGCTGGACAGCCTGTCCAGATCCCCAACTACCCTCACAGGGACAACAGGAGGAGGGGGTAAGTATGAATTCCCCTCCCCAGCTAACTCCTAACTTGGCCCCAGGGTTAACAGGGGAGATGTTAACCCCCACTGACCCCCACGTTCCCCTGGCTACTGAGCCGGACTATGTCCCAAGCCCCCCAGCGGAAGAGCTGGCAGCTGGGCAGAGTGCAGTCTGCCTCTGCCCTCCCTTTGTCCCTTGTCCAGAGCCTGATGTCCTGCAGGCTATACCAGCAGAAGAGCTGGCATCAGGGCAGACCGCCGCTGGCCTCTGCCCTACCGATCCCCTTGTCACAGGACTGGCCTGCACCCCCCTCCTCCCAGCAGAAGCGCTGGCATCAGGGCAGAGCGCCGCTGGCCTCTGCCCCTCAAGTCCCCACAGCGTGTTGCCCCATCACCCCAGAGGAATACCCAGGTGCAGTCACTGTTTGCTGTGGGTGGGCTGCTCTAATAACTGTTTGTTGTGGGTGGGCTACTCTGGCACTTGCTTATGGTCGGTGGGTGACTCGACTAACTTAGACACTGACCGACAGAAAGTCAGGTGCCTGGTTAGTCTTCCCCCCGAAGGGGAGATATGTGACGAAGTGCCCTTTGCCACTTGGTCCTGGAGAGGCCTACTTGCCAGCCTCCTCCCCTGTGACTATGACTCTTTCATGTATTTGGCTTTAAAGCCCCTAGTCTACCTTCAGACAGACTATTTATGTAGGCTGCTTTATTTATCTTATGTTTTAGTCACCCTGTACCCATTATAGGTGCAGGGTGTGTAATGTAATTGTTTATAGTGTGTGTGTGTACTGTGAAATGTATTGCCTTCTCTCCTGTACTGCTGAGGTTTGCTACCAACTAGGTGGGTTTGGCTATGGAGCTTGTCTAGTGCCCTCTGTTGGTAGCAACAGCAATATGCACTACCTAAATTGCAAGACTGGTTCATTTGCATATTCGGGTAGATTTGCATATTGCTAATTCTGCAGGCAGGTGAGATATTTAATGTTAAATATTGTCTCCCCCTACCCCTTTAAAAATGTGTCATTGTGTTGTGATAAGTCACTGTGTGTTGCTTGATATGATTTGACTGTTTGTGATTTTATTGAGGTTTCACAACAATGTTATTGTGGTGACCCTATTGGCTGGTCCCAAGGGAAATAAAGGTTTTGACAGTTCTTCTTGATCCCTCTAAACATAGCCTTGTCTCGTTATTGGAGGGAGCTGTTATAATCACACTGGGGATTGTTATGCTCTGCATGCTACCCTGAGCTTGAGTCACTTAGCTCTTTTAAGAGCTTGTTCCTGACACGCTCTCCTTGGAGTAGGGGTCTTCACCACACAGTCCTGGATGCTGGGGGTTCATACAGGGTGGAAGGAAGAGTTCTTTCCCACACAATCCTGGAGGACAGAAGCTGATCCAGGGTGGAAGGAAGACAGCGAGACTCCAGTCAAGATACGGCGGTTGTGGAGTCTGCGGTGGTTGTGGTGTCTGCTGCAGCACTTGGAGTCCTCAGGAAGCGCTAGGAGCATCCATCAACGGAGGGTACTCAGTCGGAGTACAAGGAGCTCCGTTACAGTTACAAAAAGACAAAAAATGACACAATGTTTCAATTACTACATAAAACATATACATGCAACATATCCCCAGATAGCTTAGAACTGAGTGCACATTACCGAATGGCGCTCAGATCACATACATACAGTTCAATCGCCATGGAGCCAAAGTCTTTTCCATAGTCTTTCATTACACGAATAGGCTCCATGGCATGGCTATCTGGGGTAGCACTACTCACATACTGAAAGTCCCAAATCCCCCGGCAGAGATTCGTCACATCCTCCATGGCCACTTCCTCAGAGACTGGATTTGTTGATCCAAGGTCCAGCAGTTCATCACAATCCAAACCAGTTGAATTTAGGGGCTTGGTTCTTGAGAAGCAGAGACTCTTAGAGCAAGGATTACCTGACTCGGTGGCTGAATGCTTTTGAAATCCAGAAAACGTGCTATCACAGAATATGGGATGTTTTTCAATTATGGTCAGAACAAAACTCCATAAACTTCCTGCATCCTACTAATATTAATGTTCTGAAATTTCTACATGCAAGTCTGGAGAAGGGTTTAAGCTTAAGCACATTAAAAGTACAGTCATCGGCTTTATCTGCACTGTGTAACACCTCGTGGGCATCAGATCCTCTGATAGCGAGGTTCTTCAAGGCAGCTATATGTATAAGACCTCCATCCAGATATGGTGCTGGATGTTCTGTCAGACATCCCCTTTGCTCCTTTGGATGACTTGGGTATCAATATTCTGACTCATAAAACATTGTTCTTAGTGGCAATCACCATGGCTAAAAGAATGTCTGAGATTCAAGCCTTCTCCAGTGATGTGAATCATATACAGTTCTTCCACGATGGAAGAATTACCTAGAGTGGAATTCCTACCTAAGGTGGTTTCACGATTCCACATTTCACAAGATGTTATCCTGCCTTTCTTTTATCCAAACTCTTCCTCCTCGGAAGAATTTAAGCTCTATCAATTGGATGTTAAGGAATGTCTGATGAAGTATCTGGAGGTCACTAATCAATTTCGGAAGTCACAACATTTATTAATTCTTCCATCTGGCTACAGAAAAGGTGAAGCTGCTTCTACCGCTACTTTGAGGCGTTAGATCTCAAACACCATAAAGAAGGCTTATCATGTTAAAAATCTATCTCCTTCAGAGAAAGTAAAGACTAATTCGACTAGAGCACTTGCTACCTCCTGGGCTACTTGGGCAGAGATGTCATCTGATGACATATGCAGGGCAGCCACCTGGTCTTCTCCTATGTCATTAATCAAACACTACAAGCTGGGTGTAGCTTCTTCATCTACTTCCTTTGGGAGAGGAGTTTTTTGTTCTCTGTTACTTCTCATGAATAAAATATTATTGCAGCAGACTAATAGTATCCATTTTTTTTCTCCCTCGCATTTGTCTTAGCTTGGGTATTACCCATAAGTGATGCTGCTATGATTAGCCAGGAATATAGAAAAATACTTACCGTAATTTTCTTTTCCGGGCTATTATTCATGGCAGCATCAGCAACACTCCCATGTTTTTTGTTTTACAGATTTAAACTAGACTGTGGGATAGAGGGAGGAGGGACCTTTTTATTCCTACAGTCTGGTTCTAATTAGTTAATGGTTTCCTGTCCTGTTCCTATTAGGGGTGGAGCTAACCCATAAGGGATGCTGCCATGAATAATAGCCAGGAAAAGAAAATTACAGTAAGTATGGAGAAAATGTTCTATATTTTTCATTGTGGGTATATATAAAAACAGCTTGCTAGTTACATATCTCTTGCCTGCAGCCTTTACAAACCCTCCCCTTCTAGCCCCGCCCAGACTTTCTGTGGCCGTCCAATCACAGACTTCCCAATGCAGCTCAATAAGAAGTCTTTGTAAGACAGGTGCTCTGGGCAATTGCTGCCTCTTGAGTTTATCTCCACTGAGCTAACCAACCAGGAAGTAACAGCATCAGTTATCGGATTGACAGCCAGCCGGGGGGGGGTAACTAGGTCCATTTATAGGTCCTACCTTTCTATTGAAATCTACACTTTTTGTAAAATGAAATAAAGTGGACACACTCTTCACACATAAAGCACTTTAGTATGCTAAACTTCTTTATGGGTCTGGAATGTCTCTTTAAGAGCAACAGTTAGTACATCATTGTAGCTACAAAATGCTGGCAGGTGTTTTAGGTCCACCCCGTATCCAATTCATGTCTGTCCCCACTGATTTCTACCACCAGTTATCTGGGAATAAGAAAATAAAATTAAAAGGAAAAAAAATCTACCAACAAGTGTGTCTCTTGCTAAGAGAGTTATAGAATTAGTGAAAAAAATAATAAAACTTAACTTTTAATATCATTAAATATAAAAATATATCTTATATAAATAAAGATAAGATAAAATCAAGCAAGAGGTTTAGTCCTTCCTGTAAATATAGTGCTCGGTAATGTGGCAACCCAGTAACA